CGTGAGCCAGGGGATGGGGGTTAGTAGGGCGCCGCCGAGGGCTTCGTCGGTGCCGACGGTCGAGGCGACCGAGTTTGTCGAGTTGCCCCAGGAGACGGCGGCGGCGGGGTCCGGGGGGGAGGAGGAGCCGTTTGCGTTGTTGTTATTATTGCTGCCGAGAGCGCCGTTGGAGAGGAGCGTCATGGCCGAGACGTCGGGGATGGCAGGCGGGAGGGGGTAGATGTTTGCGCCGCTGGTGACATGAACAACTCGGTCGACGGCGTGGAGGTAGGAGGCCAGGTGGCGGTAATGGCGGCGTGGCTCGATGACGAGCTCCGCGAGGCGCTGGATCGTGTGCGGAGGGTACTTTGGGAAGCTGGCGAGGACGGACTTGATCTCGATGAGCATGGCCTCGATCTGGGCCGGTAGGGAACCCGGGTCCGTTGTGGCAGCGGCGGCGTCGGTCGCATCGCTTTCGGCGGCCGGGGCCGGGGCAGTCGGTTGGCTGTTCTCCTTGTCTGCTTCCTGTGACGACGAGGGTTCGGCGGCGGGGTCGAGGGGTGGCGGTTGTTGTTGGCCTGGTGGGTTAATGTGTTGAGGGAGGGGTGGCAGATTCGGGATAGGAAAGTCATTGTGAGCTATCTAGAAGAACATTCGCAAAGCGAACGTGTGAGCGCGCCCTGTGGGAGGCCAAGAGGAGTTTTCGGATGGGCGGTTTGAGGGAGGGGAGGCGGGAGTGAGTTGAGGTCGGTCGGCGATCGGGACATACCTTATCTAGCCTCGTGATGATGTCTTGCGACATGGCAGGCCATAGACCGCTTTGCGACGTGGTTAGCGATGGCGCGTCGATCTGGTGGGAGAGAGTGGCGATTGGCTTACTAGTCCATGTGGCCGCCTGACGCGACCGTCTGCAAGAGGTCGTCGTCGACCTCGATCTCCATTTCTGAGGGCATGGAGTCGTTGGGGTGGTGTTTTTATTGGGAAGAAGAGAGCTATTCCCGCTGACGTCGCGTGCTGGGGGCAAGGAAAGCGCGACTGGTCGGAAAGTTGGAGAGATGCGCTTAAACGGGTTGCGCCCCGCGCCAAAAATAGCTTCGCGTAGAGAGGTTAATGCAGATACAGGAACGTTGAGCCGTTGTGTTTGGAATTCCTTTTGCAACCTGAAAGATTCTAGGAGACGTCGAAAATGTGACCTGTGTTTTGTTACCGGGTAGTAGGGGTGCAGGAAGACTGCAGAGGTTCCCGAGGCTCCAAAGCTACGGTGGATACAGAGTGTGACGCCAGAGTTGCAATGGCGAGTTGCCGACAAGTCGGTACTGCACACTCACTAGAAAATCTAGTGCAAAAAAAGTTGGCTTTCAAGAAATTGAGACAATTAAGAAGAAAATCATCCTAATAATATCCATATGTTATAACAACATGCTGGGATATACTCCTAAGGCCTTTGCGCGCTGGTGTTATTGTCATGATGGTCAATGACATAGCTATTTCTTTGCTCATGTTTGTTCACTCAGTCCGAACATCCACTTCGGGTCTCATCTTTTTTATCGTGGTATTTCAGATCGTGGTTGTTTTCCTGAAAAGTCAGATGGCAGCATCCACATAAAAAACCACCAGTCGCATCAACATAAAGGCAGTCGTCTAATTGAAGCATTCCGTTGTCTGCGTCCCAGCGTATGCTTGCTGCGGTGTGCTAGGACCGAGTGCATGTCGAGCAAAAGGGCAAAAATGAGATGATCGATGCAGGGATCGAACCTGCGATCCTCTGCGTGTAAAGCAGATGCCTTAAACCGCTGGGCCAATCGACCGGTGTTCGTTGTTTAATGCGGAATTTTTAGCACCTAAGGAGCGCGGAAACTGTTGTTGTTGTCTCAGACCAGCAACAAACTCACATGCACCAGCGTGTCAACGCTTTCTCGATCGTTTGGAGTTCCAAGCCGTGATCTGTTTAGATATTGCCTGCGACATCAAATGAACATTGGTTCGAATGACGTGGGGAATGAGGAGCTTGAGGGGACCATCGGGCGTCGCCCGTTGAGCTTCAATTTTGGTGGAGGAAAGAGTTGACAACGAAACTTACTACCTGTAGTACCACACCTTCGTGTTAACTCAAGAGTATTCATATATCCACGCGAACTGGCGCTGTTTCTTAAAGTGATTAGTTGCAAGCCCTTACGTTCTCTTATTATTCATTGGAATGAGGCATACATCGTGTTTGGTCTGCAGGTACGCAGGCCTCCTTAATTCAGCGAGGACAAAATGTAAATTTCCCTGTAGCGTTGTCTCCCTTTCCTCTAGACACAATAACTCCAAATTCCCCCAGAATTTGTAAAATCAAGGTGTCTTTGGAAAACAGGAACGGGAAAAGGAAAAGAAGACATTGTGGTATCATTTTCAACCTTTCTACCTTTCGCAAACTGCACCAGAGAAGTACCAACAGCCCACACGTGACGCTAGTGGGGTAATTAACAAAAGGTACTCAAAATTTCTTCCTCCCACACATATTCTCACCTTCATTCTGCCAACCACACTCGCAACAAACAGCCTCTATTTTCACCATCAAACTTCCATATCCTTCTCCAATAACTCTCAAAAATGGCTCGCGTCAAGAACAAGGCTAGCGACACCCTCGCCCAGCGTCTCGCTCTCGTAGTGAAGTCGGGCAAAATCTCCCTCGGCCACGCCAGCACCAAGAAAGCCCTGCGCACCGGCAAGGCCAAGCTGGTCCTCATCGCCGCCAACGCCCCTCCCCTTCGCAAGTCGGAGCTCGAGTGTATGGCGAATTCTTGCCCTTGCGATGATAGACTTTGAATGTACTGACTCTGTCACAGACTACGCGATGCTGGCCAAGGTGCCCGTCCACCATTTCAACGGCACCAACATCGAGATGGGAACCGCCTGCGGTCGTCTCTTCCGCTGCGGCACCATGGTCATCCTCGATGCTGGCGACTCAGACATTCTCGCCGATCAGACCATCGGTTAGATCTTTGAGGTATGTCCTCCCGCGGCGGAAGCATTCTGCGAAGCGTGTGTATCCACGTGGAGAATGTCTCGACTGACCGTTCCTCCCTTCCAACAGACCGCCCAACGCTTGTGAATGGCTCTGATGTCACGGTACGTGAACCAAAACTTCCAAAAACATTTTGCGAAGCGTGTTACGCCGGAACACACGTGGAGAATGCCGACTAACAGGTCGTCCTCTTGATAGCAAGCACCGCACTTGCCAGGAGACCTGATCATGAGGTACGCCCCCCCTTCCAAACCTTCAATTTCCTGCGAAGCGCATTCTGCTTGAATGCGTGGAGGAAAGCATCCTGCGAAGCGCGTCCTTAATGGGCGTGTGGAGGATTGTTCCTACGAAGCACGCCTTGCCAGGCGTGTGGAGGATCGGTTCCTGCGAAGCATGTTTATACCAGCATGTGGAGGATTATGACTAACCTCATGATACCCCAGACTATAAAACACCGGACTGCTGCAGTAATTTACTCAACGCGCAGTCCTCTTAAGGAACAGCCCAACTTTATCGACGCGACGCCATGATACGTGAAGGCTGTAGCTAGTAGATAGATCAAAACACATTGTTTCTTAAGAACCCAACATCTCTCCCCATCCCCAGCGTGACCATGCCACAGCCTCTTGAAGCATTCATTCGATAACCAAACAAACAAACAAGCCAATTACTTAATTGGATTTGCGACTCATACCCTTCCACCTTTTTACGATCTGCCCATGGGCAAAAAAGTGCTGACTAACTGAAAAGCGCCGGTAGGTGACCTGACCGAAGCTTGGCGGGTCCCTGCCAAAATCCGACGTCACACCAGCTTCAAACTGTGAAGCTCCAAGCTTCAAAACGGCTGCACCCAGAACACCACACCACCACCCACCAAGATGCGCCCCTTCAGAGCCACCAGCTCGTTTCTCCGCGGCGCCAATGGCCTCGCCCAGACTTCGCGAAGGTAAATACCCTCCCCATCTCCAAGCAAACCACTCAATTGACCAAGACAAACACCCAGCCAAACCCAGGCTCCCCGCCTAATCGCATCCCAAACCCTCCTCCTCCGCCGCACCTTCACCTCCAGCCCTCCCCTCGAGAAGAAGAAGAAATCTCCTCCCTCCTACCCGACCGCCGACTCCCCCGCCGTCGTCTCCCGCACATCCCACGCCGCGCCCAACCACGACTCCGACCCAGACGACCCCTCTGGCTCCAAGCACCCGAAGCCAGACCCCGCCGACCCCCTCGACTTCGGCGACGTCGCCTCCCGCTTCGCCTCCCTCGCCACGCACCACATGGACATACTCAAGAAGATGCAGACAGGCGACCGCTTCTCCCCGGACGCCATCGGCGCCCTCGCCGTGCACCCCGACAAGAAGGACCCGGCGCAGTCCTACCCCCTCCGCGAGCTCGCCGAGATCGTGCCCCGCCCCGGCGGCCGCACCGTTTCTCTCCTGCTGCACGAGAAGGACTACCTCAAGCCCGTCATGTCCGCCGTGCAGGCGTCGCCCGACTTCAACCAGCAGCCGCAGCGCGACCCGGACAACGAGCTCGAGCTGATCCTCAAGGTCGAGCCGCAGAACAAGGACGCCGTCGTGCGCAAGGCGAAGGACGCCGCGCAGGCGTGGCGCGAGAAGATGCGCGCCGTCACGGAGAAGCGCAAGAAGCTGCACACCAAGTGGAACAAGGACAAGCTCATCGTGCCGGACCTGAAGCGGCGCGCGGACACGGAGTTGAAGAAAATTCAGGACAAGGAGATGAAGGGCGTCGATGCGGTGGAGGAGCAGACTATCAGAAAGCTCACGTAGATATGATGACCTGTGTGTATACAAAACTGTAGAAAAGAGTTCACGTTTCCCTTTTTTTTTCCCCCCTCCTTGTGTCCTGTCATCAGGGAGTGGATTCATCACGAGCCTCACAGAGTTGGGGTAGAAGAGACTTTGTATCTAAATGTACAATAACGTTCGTGTTTCTCCTTTTTGTTTTGAGGGGGACCTTAATCATACAAATGCTCGCGATGCCATCACACTCATGCCTTGGCACCCGCAGCAGCAGCAGGCTTAGCGGCACCCTTGGCCCGGTTGACAAGCTGCGCAAGCTTCTCGTCAAACTTGCCGCTCTCAATCGCGTGGTAGCTCGAGTTATGCAGGTGCTTCGCCCGCGCGACCTCCAGCGGCTGCTTCGCCCCCAGCTCCACAAACTCGGGCCTCACATGCTGACCCTTGACGACCTTGTCCATGATGTACTCCCTCACGGCCTTCTCCGCGCCGGCCTCCAGCTGCTCGGGGGACCTCTTGACGACCCTCATGTTCGTCGTCATCTTCTCCTGCGGCGTGTTCTTGATCGCCTCCACAAACGCCCTCTTGTCCTCCACATCGTCAAAGAAGTGCGCCCCGTCGCCGCGGAACGCAAGCTCCGTCGCCACGTGCCTCGGCAGCGCCCACACGCCCGGCGCAGGCTTCGCCCCGCCGCCGACCTCCCTCAGCGCGTCCAGCACCTGCACCGCCTGGTCCGCCGGTGCGCCCGTCGCCAGCGCCGGTGTGAAGGCGAGCAGGCTCTCCGCGGTCAAGCGGGGCTCGAAGCGCTCCGGCAGCCCGATGTCGCGCTTGCGGTAGTACAGGTGCTCCTCCTCCGTCGTCGGGCGGTGCCATTCCTCTGCTTCGTTCGGCTTCCGCTCCCTTCGATCCTCCTCGCCGTCCGCATTGCGGCTGCGGCGACCGCCACGGCCGCCACGTCCTCCACGACCTCCACGGCCGCCGCGGCCTCTCATCATGCCGCCCCGTCCTCCACCACGACCGAAGCCGCCGCGGCCGCGCTGGAATCCACCGCCTCTGCCTTCGCCGAAGCCGCCACGGCCACTGCCCCTGGCACCAAGACCGGCGCCACGGCCGCGGAAGCTGGCGGGGAGCTTGACGAAGGTGGAACCGCTTGAGCTGCTGCCCAGGCCACCGCCGAGGCCGCGCTTCGGCAGTGTCTTGACGTCGATGACGCGCGCGGGCTGGGCTGCAGTTGTGTTGTCAGGCTTGGACACCCCTCTGGTCGATCCGCTGCTCAGAATCTGGCTGATTTCGCTCGCGGCGTTGCGGGATCGTTCGCGGCCGGAGAGTGGTGCTCTCGTCGGGGCACCATTGCCGTTGGAGTTGTTCGAGGAGTCGGACTCGGCGAGGCGCAATTGTGTGGTGGAAAAGGTGCGGATGTATGATTTGACGGCAACGACATCTGGCCTTATGCGGCCGCCGGCCGATCGCAGGGCCTGGGGGTGCATTGTTGGAGGTTTTGAGGACCGAGGCCGCGATGCGTTGCTTTGGCGTGGCCGTCGTGGTGCTGCTGGACTGAGGTGAGGTTTGAAGCTTGAGAAATATTCGCGGTTAGGTAAGCAGGTGTGGGTGGGTCTGAGTACCCGGGGAACGTAGGGGGAGAGGCCTTCAACATCACGACCGGTGTCTAGTAAAGCTACCCAATCAGGCACTAGTATTGATTAAAAAAAATCCTATCCTGGCTCGGCTTTCCAACGCCGAGAGTCTATCATGACAGAAGAGTTGCTGAACTCGAACATGTTGGTTTGCGTTTGGGTTGGTCATTACTGGATGCATCAACCCAACAGCGCTCACGAGCCACAGCCCACAAGGATCTACACAACACGTCCAAACGTAGCGTATCGCACTATGAATTCGTTGAGAAACATTTCATTGTCAATGGGTTTACACACCCGCCGCCGGTATACCAGTGTTGCGTTCTCACTCCGTATGCAATCCGCTCCAGACTCCACGTCTTTGATTCTCCGGATGCTTCCGTCTCTGAAATGCCAGTCCCATAACCAATTAAACCAACCCATCCTCCAGGGTCTTTTGATGCCAGTTCCCCCTATGAACGCCAATCTGGCTAGTCTCTCTATGCGATAGAGACTGCGACCAGATATGTAAAAGGAAGCCCACCCCCCGCTTCGGGCCCGGTATCCGGGCACTCTGAATGCTCATGATGACACGACTCGGGCTTGCTGGTGTCAAGCTCTAACTGAGTATGCCGAAGTCTGCCCCTCAATTTGAGACGACAGTCTCTGTGGTAGAGAGTTTCTTATATTTTGCAACCAACTCATTGATCTTGGGTATCAATTCAGGTATTCTGAATGGCTTGGAAATCACGTCATCCTGTAAACATGTTAGTGGAGCCCGAGTTGAGGTACCGGAAAATAACCACTTACAATGCCGGCTTCTTTCGCGCTCTCGATTTGCTCAGGCCGCGCGTAAGCCGTAACGGCAATGATGGGGATGTGAGTGATGAGAGTTCCTTCCCTCTCCAATTCGCGAATGCGCCTCGCGCACGTCATGCCATCCATGACCGGCATCTCTAGATCCATCAGGATAACGCTGAGGTCGAAACCTTCCGCCTCTTTTCCAGACCAGAAACGAGACTTCTTGAGTTGATCCAGTGCTTCCCCGCCGTGGTTCGCAACATGCGTGTTGTTGCCACAATTCCTTAATTGCTTCTGGAGAACTCGCTGGTTCACAATGTTGTCTTCCACAATCAAGACGTCCAGAGGTGGAGTTCCCTCTGGGACAGGCTTCCGGTAGGATGCCCGCCGTGGCAGAGAGTTCGGGGGAGGGGGTGTCGATGGCGAAGATGTCGGTGCTTTGATCGGTCTGGCAAGGTTCAAAGCCGATAATGTTGTCGAGTCTACGCTCGGCGCGGGCGTCTTGCGGCACTTCACGTAGAATGCAAAAATGCTACCAATACCCTTCTCCGAGATGACGCCGATCTGGCCGCCTTGTAATTCAGCAAGCATTCTCGAGATGAACAAGCCTAGACCTGAGCCGCCATACTGCACGTGAGTGCGCGGTGAGGCTTGCGAGAACCTCTGGAACAGGAGCTTCTTCTCGTCTTCCCGAAGACCAGGGCCTGTGTCCTGGACCGAAAAGTGAAGGTTGATTTCTTCTCCCTCGCCCCAATCCTTTTCTTGGGTCAGAGCCTTAACATCCTCCTTACGGCTGGGGAAGAATGAAATACCCTTCTGGGTAACTTCGCGGATATCTTTGGAGGCGCTCATGCTCATGATGATCTCGCGCTTTTCACGGCCTTGGGTGAACTTGATAGCGTTGGTCATCAGGTTGATCAAGACTTGTCTTAACCTGGACGGGTCTAACCTGACCCAGTCAACAGCGTGCTTGTAAAATGCCTGCTCAATTGAGAATTCCAGACGAATGTCGTGCGTGCTCAACTCCGATTCGAACATCTTGATGACGTGTCGCACAATCGTGACGGGGTGTGAGTCGACCGGGGTTACCAATAACAGTTGAGAGTCCAGCTTGGAGAGTGTCAGAACATCATCTACGATGCGTTTCTGATGGCTAGCGCAGAGGTTGATTGTGTTGGCAGCCTCCGTACAGCCGTCCAACAATACCTCGAGCTCCTTATGGTCTGGCTGTTGTCTTCGGAACTCCGTGATGCTGTTGACAATCTCGTCTGCGCACTGAAGCACCGCACTAAGGGGGTTGCGCATCTCGTGGCTGGTGATGTCGATGAAGTTCTCCTGCTGTCGCTTGAGTTCCACCGCTTCTTCTCTTCGTTGCTTCTGGAAATCTTCGGCCCATTTCTGCGGCGAAATGTCGGTGATACAGCCAAAGATGCTCTTGAGGGTGCCGTGCTCGGTCTTCTCCGGGAACGCACTCATCAACACCCAGGTGTCGATGGTGTTGCGTCCGTTTTGCCGACTGCATTTGAATCGAAATTCGACGGTAACAGCCTCCTTGTCTTCGATAAGCTTCTTCCACGAGCGTTCGAGACCTGAACGGTCTTCATCCCTGACACTTTGCATCCATGTGTTGACGCTGTCTTCGGTGCGCGGATGCCTGGATATTTGCCACCACATATCATTGGCGAAGTTGATATGGCCCTTGTCATTAGCAATAAAGATGCCAACTGGTGCAAACTCGGCCATTCGGCTGAACTTGTACTCGCTTTCCACCGCCTCTTGGGTTCTCAAGTAAAGCTCCATCTGCAGCTCTTGGCGATCCAGTGCAGCAAGACGAGCGGCCCTCTGGCCCCGCTTAATTTCCTCTTCGAATAGCACAACTGAGGCCATCGACGTTGCCAGCTGTCTGGAGAGTAGATGAATGAAAAGCTGGTAGTCGTCGTCGTATGGTCTGCGGGGGTTAGTACCCAAGACGATGAAGCCCACCACTGACTCTCCTGCCGTTGTAGGATGCACAGGCAAGATGACAATCGTCTTCGATGGGTCACCGAAACCTCTCCAATCCATGCCCTCGAGCAGCTTGGTCGGAAGGTTGCCGGCTTCCTGAGAGAGAACAATGGGCGCACCCTGCATGGTCATAGACTGACGCATATACGGCGCAAAGCCCTCATCCGAGGACTTGAGATCGAGATGGGTGAGGGCTGTCGGATGCCCGTCAGGAACACCCAAAGAGCCTTCAAGTTGCAAAAGAGGCGGGTGTGCTATACTGCCGGAATGCATTGAAGACACCTCGCTTTCGTTGTCCTCCTTAACAGAGTAAATAAGGGCGAAGGGCACGTCCAGGTCATTGAATTCGAGGCCTTCACGAACCCTTGGCCAAAAGTTCCGGACATCCTTAGCGGCCGCGGTCTTCTCGCCAACCTCTCTCAAAGTCAACATGCGGCGTTCGTTCACCTTGCGGCGGGTGTTCTCAAACGCAGGGTTGTAGAGACCGACAATCTGACCGTCGCTTCCCAGCAATGGAATGATTGACCATGAAAAGAAGGTTTCCTCCAAGAAGCCGTGTCGCATAATGAAGAGCTGGTTGTCGTTCTTCATGATTGATGTGCCGTTATCCCAAGCATTGCTTACCACACCCTCCAGCTCCGACCAAATTTCAGCCCAGGCATCCTTGTACCGCATGCCCATGAGCTGTGGGTGTTTCTGACCGGCGAGCTCGACGTACGCCTCGTTGTAGAGGATGACATTGTCTCGGCTCCAGTACATGGCCGCCGGGTGAGGGCTGCCCATGACCATATTAGCCATGGCTCTGAGATCCGAGTTCCAGTGCTCGATAGGCCCCAGCGCGGTGGAAGCCCAGTCGACGTTACGAGCAAAGCGGATGTGGTCGCTAAGGTCGTCGGTGATTTGAATGCGTGTCCAGTCGAAAGAGGGCTTCATCATGTTTGTCTGGAACACCTGCTGAGTAAACTCGTCCGTGTGATGCCTCCCGCCATCGTCCGCCATTATGCAATCCTCGCCCATGCTTGTGTCATTCATATCGTGGGTATCCGAGACGGCATCACCAAAATAGTCAGGCTCCTCTTCTATTTGCAAGATTGTCGGCTGGGGAGAAGGACCTTTGTGCCGTTGTTCAAGGACCGCCGACTCTTCAGCTAGTGGGGCTGGCGAGTCGGGAGCGGTTGACACAGCACTCATGTTGCCGCTCACGAATCGATAGCGCTTGCGCAAGGTTGAGCAAGTCCACGTGATCCCTCCATAGTTGTGAGATGGAAGGCATACATCCAACGACTCCTGGTTTTTTACGAAACTCATGACCCACGCTTTGAAATGCGTATACTCAGAATTCTTGATGGCGTCGTCCCCTTCTACTGACAGTAACTCCAAAACACCGAGCGAAGCTCTTAGGGCCGCGTTAGCATACAGCAGGTGAAGGGCCGTCCTTTGGTTGTTGACGGGATTTGCCAGGTCTATAATGAAGGTTGGGCGCTCATCCTGCTCGAGAAGCTCGACAACACCAATATTCCTCAGCTCTGCGATGCCTGGGCCTGTGGACTGGCTGATTGGGCTTCGCGACGAGGTCAAGGTGGCCTCTGCAGAGGAAGACAAGCTGCTGCTCCCGGGAGTGCTACCAGACCTAGCAGCGCCGCGAGCATGTACGGTGCCGCGGGCCAGACGTACGGTATGGACGCCATCGTTCTCCTCCCTCAGACGGGCCAGCAGAACAGCGGCGGCGTCTGAGGGAGGTAGAGGGTTCGGGCGAGTGGGCATGGGTCGGCGGGTGTTGGAGCGGGAAAAGAACAGAGGGGACGTAACCCCTTGATTTCGTGCAGCCAGTATTGCCGCTGCAGTGGGAGGCCTAGGTAAGTCGATAGTTCTCGGGGGAGCTAGACGGCGCGGCTTCTTCAGCGGAGAGGGTTGTGTGTCGATCTGATGAGTCTCTTCATCCGATAGACGCTTCGCTTGTAGGGGTGCTGGCCTCGTCAGGCGCGGGCGAGAGGGCTCCTCGGTAGGTGAGTATGTGGTGGGAGAGGTCGGATCGGAGGTGGGCGTGAGGAGGGACTTTGAGACGTTGT